AACCCCAAAATACCCTGTTTTAATAAAGTTTACTGATTTCTTAATTCTTTCTTTTCGCCATATTTGATCCCCCATTTTGAATTTTTGAAATCTGACTTCAGATTCATAATAAGCGACCCCGAAAGCGTTTGCATGCCACGTTTTATCAAAAAGCCTTGATTTTTTAATTTTTGTATTCACCATATTGGATACGCCTCACATTGTAAGATTTTACCCATCTAGCTGCTTTTAATTCTGTAAGTCGAAAACTATTGAAGATAGATTAGTGAAATTTTGCACAAGGTACGTTATAAGATAGGCGAAACTTTTTACAAAAAATTTGTCATTTAGAGTTACTGTCACGCCACCATATTATATAACTGCTGTTTTCAAAAAGGCAAAAGCTGAAATATTTAACTAACTACAAAAGCTAAAATGTCCAAAATTGATATTTAAAATTTCCTTATAACAAGGAATTATAAACTGATAGAAATGGACTTAAAAATATTTTTTCTTTAATTATGGGCGTGGGAAATATCGATAAAAGAATCAAGTTGGCTCAACAAAATTCCGTTATAAGTTCAAAATTTCTTACTTGATTTACAAAAACGGGGTACTTTTGGAAAGGTATTGAATCAAGCTTTCTCTATTTAAAAGCGATAATACAAAAATTTGTCTCGGTCGAGATAAAATGTAAATGAATTACTCGAAGAAAATAAAATTTCTGAAAAAAGAAAATTTTATCAAAACCAGCACTTTCCAGCAGCTAAAATTATGTTATTTAAAGTCTAAGAGGAGTGGCAAATAAACTAAAATACAAATTTTATCGAATAATTGCGGATAACGAGTTTGCGGGTCTAATGAAATTAATAAATTGCTAAAATTAAATTTAAGTTAGCAGCGTTTTACTTTGATATGAAATACTCAGTCCTAGTTTACTAAAATTCCAAAAATGTATATTCGTTAAAAAGAACAAACCTAAAAAAATGAGACCGAAATGGTATTCTAGCAATTGTTTCAAAAATGTATATTCATTAAAAAGAACATACCTAAAAAAATAAGACCAAAATGGTATTTTAGTAATTGTTAAATCACATAACACCGACAAATTAAACATTAAGATTCAGTTTCATATATACAAGTTTAAATATTATTGGGCTCGGTAATTTTCAAAATCAAACCCCGTCCCCGCCCTACACTTTGATTTAAATTTTGTAGTTGTTGTTGTTTCGTCTTAATCAGGCATTTCTGAAAACATTGTCAACGTTGTTTTGAAATTTGGCGACATAAAATAATTTAATTAATATATTCTAGAATATGGAAATAATACACTGTGCGCCATTTTGAATTTTTAAAATCTGACTTCAGTAATCAGTGACCCTAAAAACATATAGAAACACAGTTACTTCAAATTGTGTCAAGGCGTCTTTGAGCAAATAGTTTTGTCCACCTAGATTTAGATTTCAGACCACTGTGGGGCGCTGTTCAATCTAAATGCAGTTACCCAGCAAACATTGAGGTTAGTTATCGATTAGAGAATGATTGGAGAACGAGCCACATTCTCCATTCTCAAACGTTAGAGAACGAGTCGAAAAACTATCGAGAATCTTAGCGATCTCAACAAAAATGGGACATAGTTCTCGACTCGAGAAAACAGGAATTCTCTAATCGAATTCTAATGTTGATCTCTAATGGGATTCAAATGTGAATTTCAAACTGCTGTTTTGCTTTATTAAATAAAACTCTTTGTTTGCAAAATTTGTATTGAATGTATTTGCAATAAAATAGTAATGAATTATTTGAACTTGAAAGTAATTTTTGATTCATTCATTTGGAATTTCGCTTATTTATATTTATTTGAATTAGCGTTGTTTCTTTAATCATTCTCGAATCGAATTCTAATGCAGTTCTCTAACTTCATCGTCTTAAAGAATTGCCCTAGTTATCTAGAATTGCCCTAGTTATTTTATGTCATGTGTTTGCTGGGTAACGTGATCTAAGTTTAAACCGGCACTGCAAAACTGGCCCTAAGCTGTTACTTATTATAAAATTTAATAAACCAAAATTTAATTTTATAAATCTGTGCAGATATGTATTTAAATGTATACATTATTTTTTAATATCTGCAAGTACTAAAAATTTCGCCTTTGATTTATATGGGAAAAATAAGATTTTTCGTAGAAATGGTATAGAATTCTTGAAAATCAAGGTTTTTCGATCGGAAAATTCTGGTTCTCTTTAGGAGACTTTCAATGATAATACCCAATTGTTTATTTAACCATTTTTTAATACTAACGATATTTTATTGGTCCCCCATTGCATTTTTCGGGGTTTTTGAATAAAAAATAAATTTTGGGCGGGACGAAGTTCGCCGGGTCTGCTAGTATATATCTAAATGTGAATGTCTGAATGAACTACGACGCGGAATTGCACGAAACTTTGCACACTTATTTGTTTTTATCCCGGGAAGGTTATAGGCATAGACAAAAATCGGCACTACTGGAAAAGCGGGCGTGGCACCTCCCATACTAACTAAAACTTTCATGTTGTATATCTCTTAAAATATTTGTGGTAGAGTACTGGAACTTGGTGTCGAGATAAATGAAATTAATTCCATACTCACATATCTATGGTAGGTGCTTTTAGTAAGGTATATAAATGAGTCTGTAAAAGGGGGCGTGGCACATCCCAAATGCGTGGAATTTTTAATCAGCTATAAGTTCGGAACCATAAGTCACATAAACGTGAATCTTGGTATGCAGATATATCTATGGTACATAGGTGCTTATAGTAAGGTATACATAAATGAGTTTGTAAAAGGGGGCGTGGCACATTTCATAGGCGTGGAATTTTTAATCAGCCACAACTTCGGAACGATAAGTCACGCGAACTTGAAATTTGGTATGCAGACATACCTATGGTAGGTGCTTATAGTAAGGCATATATACATGAGTTTGTAAGAGGATGCCATATCAGCCATAACTTCTGAAAAGTCACATAAACTTGAAATTTGGTATGCAGACATATCTATGGTACATAGGTGCTTATAGTAAGGTATGTTCAGTCATGCCCAGCGCAGGGCACTTGCATATGGAATTCTGCCAGCGCAGGGCACTTGCTTATGGAGTTCTGCCGACGTTGGGCATGACTGGTTTATATAAATGAGTTTGTAAAAGGGGGCGTAGCGCATAACACAGGCGTTGAATTTTGTATTAGCAATAACTTCAGAACCACAATTTACATGGCCCCTTTAATTCTTTCCGATATGCCTTTCGAATTTACAGGACTCAGTTTCCAGTTCGCTTAGCTTTTGCAATGACAATAAACAATAATTCCTTAAAGCAAAACCCAAAACTTTATCGAAAATAAAATCTATGATAATTGCATTGGAAAATGCATTTATGTTAATAGAGGCGTTGCAGTATTAAAAACATGCTGTGAAATAATATTAGAGTTATTATTCCAAAGAAAATAGATTGCTAAAATTTTAATATTACAACATTGGTATTTCTAATACTACTTACATATCGTCGTTTAAAGTGCAAAACCGCGTAACTGACATTTGCTGCCGAAAATTGGATTTGCACACACAAGCTCTTGGCTCAATTCTTATCCATTCGTCCTGAAATATACTTTCCAAAAATGCGATTGCTTTATAAAAAAAAGAGAACCATTTTGAAATATGAGTCTTTTTACTATCTAGAAAATAATTTATGCAACCTCACATACGCGGTTTTCCATTATCTTGATACGCGGTTTTGTATTTTGTTGATACGCGGTTTTTCATTTTGTTGATACGCGGGTTCGTACTTTAAATGACGATATATTATTTATTGGAGATATTTAATGTAAATAAAAGCACCTGCTGTGCCAAAAAGTTATTATTACATTTCATTACATAAAGCTATACAACTGTCATTCAGTATTCTCTTATAGTAAAATTAGAGCAGAAATAAGATACAACGTCTTTACATAAATTGTTTTTGATATTTGTATAAAGACGTGGGGTGAAACCCGCAAGTAAAAGCTAGTATATAAATAAATAGTAACTGAGCAAACAACAAAGACAATAGCAATATTACTTTCTTGTTTGTTTTGTACTTATTTGATTTTTTACCTCGAGAATTTCGTGCATATTTCACTAACCAGTAGCTCGTTTCTGTAACAATTTACACTTTTGCTTGATCCCACCTACTTCACCACTATATGGCTATGTATATATAATTTTATCCTTTCTATAAAAAAAAAATAAAATACTTCGAAGTATAGTAAAATAAAAATAAGATCACTTTGTATTGCCTAAATACCTGAACAAGAAAGTTCATCGCCGGTTTTGATTTATCTTTAAAGAAAATTTAGAAATAGCTTGGAAACACAAAATATTAAATCACGTTTATCACTTTGCGCTCATAAAAAGGAAAAAGCGACGACTTTAAGAGTATACTGCAAGAAAACGGTAAATTTTTGATTACATAGTAATGTAGACTTTTACATACTTTCATTTGGTACTAAAAACTTCTTTGTACATTGAATTTCATTTTTTGAATTAATCTCCAATATCGATATCAATTACCCCACTATGCGACGATATACTGCGCTCCAAAAGGCTAAGGAGGAATGATTATGCATGTCCTTAAGAAGAACCAAGTTTCTATTTGAATAGTTTATTTTTAGGACCGTTTTCTCAAGTAGTTTTTAAAATTTATCTGCCCCTTAAACACAAATTTTGTTCTCAAAAATTAATGAAATGCGACTTTCTCTCCCGTGGAACGTCTGTTAAATTTACTTATTTTACAAACTTATTTTAATCACAAGTTGTAAATGAATTCTTTTCTATAAGTTTTACTTTATCATCAAAAGCAAAAATAAATCGAAAATGCCAATTAATCTGATATTAATATATTGTAACTACCCGCAGTTGTTTGCCTTCCAAATAATAACTTGGTACATTAATCGAATAGTAAAATTTTATTGCGATCCCTGCTAAAATCGTTGATAATTGACTCTATCTTCCTTTGCAGGATGAAAAACCATCAGCACAGCATTTACATGAGGACATGTTCAAAACAAAACTTCATATGCAGCTCAGTAAACAAAAACAACAAAAGAAACAACAAGAAATTATCACACCAAATCCTTCAGACACCGAGGATGATGTTGAAACTCCACCTTGCAAGAAGCAGCGCTTTGAGCTGCCACAGCCCGTAGTTACACTCACACCACCTCCAGAAACACGGAAACATATGCGGTCACAAGGACAGCCGCAATCTCAGCGAGTCAGTGTTATTATGCACGTCAATAGCTTTGGCATTTGCTCCACCATCGACGAGAGCTCTTGCTCTTCGACCATTTCCAACGCCTCTATTGCGTCCATCGCAACCACCACCAGTAGCACATCCGCCTCAAAAGTACCTATACTAACGTCCGATGATGACTGCAGCCAAACAAATGTGTGGCGCAGCTTGAAATTCAAAATGAACCGCACGCATTGCGGCAGTTTTTCAGCGGCATCGTCTGTGCCGAATCAGCGGCAGCCAGAGGACGAGCCATCAGACAAACTGTTAAAATCTCAACATCTTATGGACCCACCACAATTACGTTGCACTCTGCCCTCTGTTTCAATCTCAGCGGCATCCATGCAGCAGCAACAATACACCTCCTCTCCGCCACAATATCAAGTAATAGCACAGAAAAGTATTTATATTACGCCGTCAGCGTCTCCCTCCGCGTCGACAGGGAGCAATGCTTCAGTAACAATTGCTCCAGTCATTCCCCCTCAATTGTCGGTACTGAACGCTATGATGCAAAATGTCACAGCTAGCCCAGCAAAAATCGCAGCGCCAACACCCAACTTAACCCCAGTGCACAAAATGACTGCCGCGCAGATTGCTGCTGAGCGACGACGCATTTACGTTTGCGAATACCCAAACTGCGGCAAAAATTACTTCAAATCCAGTCATTTGAAAGCGCATCAACGCGTACATACTGGCGAGCGACCGTTCATCTGCAAGTGGGAAAATTGCGAAAAGCGCTTTTCGCGCTCGGACGAGCTGTCGCGACACAAGCGCACACACACCGGGGAGAAAAAGTTTGTATGTAGCGTCTGTCAGAAGAAATTCATGCGCAGTGACCATTTGTCAAAGCATGTCAAGCGCCACGGCAAGGATAAAGCAAACGGTGTGAATCGCAATGTGGCTGCGGCAACAATGGCAGCCGCAGTAGCTGCCGCCTCAGTAGCTACAAGTGGACAACAGCAGGCAGGTGCGAATAATGTTGTTTACAGCACCATCAATACAACAAACTTACGTTCAATTGCGCCAGCGGGCAGCGCGCCAGTGACGCCGAAGCATGCGCCGGCTCCCCTCTCTGGCCTGCAGATACAAATCTGCAATGCTAACGACCTTTTGCCCATGCGGCAAGTAGGTGCGCTGCCAACGACATTCACTAGGCTCATTGCTGATCAGCAGCAATTTCAGGCGCAGCAACAACGTTAAAGCATAAAAACGTGGTTTTAAACTTATTAGTTATTAAGAACACGCAAATATGCATCCGTCATTCCAAAAATCTAGAATATTAAACAAAGCTGTAAATTTGCAAGACAGTGGTAGCGAATCAAATTAGAATATAATCGGGGCTATCACTGAATCAATCGTAGTCCGATTTCTGCGAAATCTACGAGAATGTCATCGCTTTAATCGAAATTGCTACGAACGGACGCATTTGTTGTTATTTGAATTAATTGATAGATTTTACGTAGAATCATTCAACGATGTATTCAGTGATCGTACTGAAAGTGTGGATAAGAGTTTTAATTAAAAATAAAGAAACCTTTAAATTTCTGATTTTTCAAATCATAAATAAACTACGTTTCAGCTACCATCCAATGGAAAATGATGTAAATAAAAGTTAAAAATTTGCAGCACCCCAGCAAACATAGTCTCTAACGTTAGAGAAACGATTGGATTTTACATCCGAATTCGAATGTAATGTAAGGTGAGAGAACTATGTTAGAATTTGATTAGAGAATGATTAGAAAAATTCTAGACATTTGAAACCAATTAGAATTCAACGTTAGAACACGATTAGATATGTAAATCTGTTCCCGATATCGCGATCTAATTCCCCTTATTGTAGAGAATGCTATAATTCACGACAGTTTCCCTAACATAACAAATAACCTGTAGTTAGTGTTAACCAGACATTGAGAAACTAGCCCTTAGGCGTTTAGCAGATAGTGTATTAAATCTGATAAAAATATTTATGTAAGAGCAGTCCATAGATGTTGTCAACCCACAAAACGTGTATGTGCACTTTTTTCTTCTCGAAATCTCTTACTTATAGTATGGATGTAATTCTCTTCACTTAAGTAGCATTAAGGGCCATTTTCTCAACGCCTGGTTGACAGTAATCTCCGGTAAAACATCGTTATCGACGTTACGATAGTAACCGGAGATTAGTGTCAATCAGGCTTTGAGCAAATGGCTCTTAGGGCCAGTTTATCAATGTCTGGTTAACACTAACTGCAGGTAAAACATCGTTATCGACTCCTAGTTATATGCTATGGAGTCTATCACGTCGATAACGATGTTTAACCTGCAGTTAGTGTTAACCAGACATTGATAAACTGGCCCTAAGAGCCATTTGCTCAAAGCCTGATTGCCACTAATCTCCGGTTACTATCGTAACGTCGATAACGATGTTTAACCTGCAGTTAGTGTTAACCGGACGTTGAGAAACTGGCCCTTATTCTGCAATTATCTTTTAAGGCCCGTTTGCACCATGTCCAGTTAACACTAACTAAAGAGATCTACAGCTTTATGGATCAGACGTCAGATGCAGGGAGGCGATAACGATGTTAAATTAACCAGAGATGGGACAAACGGCCCAAATATTTGTATTTGTTAATTTTACTGCTAGCATTTAAAAAAAGTTTACAAGAAATGTGTAAAAATAGTAAATCTGTGATATTTAAGTTTTCTTAATCTAAGAAAATATGTGCATATCGTTACCTTAATGCAAAAAATCCATAACTGACTAAAATTTGTATTGCATCAAACGATATGGGAACTAGTAGTTCGATGAAATGCATCATAATCAGTTAAGTTATGGCTTTTTGTATTTCAACGAAGATGTGAGATCGGGCTTTTCTCTATTAAGGTAACGATCTACAGTTAATTTATTAACTTATAAATGTACATAAACTTACTTAATTAACTTTCTTAGTTGCATATAAATAAATATAATTATGTTATAAGAAATATTGGTAAAAAAGTGTGATTTGGAAAAAACATAAAATAAATGCCAAGCCTAGAAAAATTAAAAAAGTATATTGTGAAGGCAGTAAATTATAAGAAGGCAAACTTATGCATTAAAACCTTAAATGAAATACAAAATATACATATGTACATACATACACTATACTTGGGATCGTTTTCGCCATCTCTGGCTAACACTAATTCCCCGTTAAACATCGTTATCGATTCCCCGGTATATTGTGTTAACCAGAGATGATGAAAACGGCCCTTAATGCGTTTTATTTTACTTTAAACAGATCATCTTATACGCAGTGTAGACGCTTTGAGTGATATAAAGTTATGCTTTTTCGGGTGAACTTTGAAGAACGCTTCTTTTTTATAATTTTCTCAACACCTTATGCTCAGTTTTAACTGGTCATCTTTTCTATTAACAGCTCTATTCGGCACATTGCCGATCATTTTGTAACAAGTAAATTTTATTAATAAACATTACTACCGCGATTGAATGTATAAATGGTAACACGGTCAATATTTTCGGGTATTCAACAATTGTTTTGTGTAGATATGCGGGTATGAAATATTTCATAAACAATGGGTCGATTATGGATATCAACGCAACCACGGTTGATTGCCTGCCAGCAACGCAATTGGGAAGAAAATTTGTTTTACGAATAGCAACTATCGCAAGTTGCTGCAGAGTTATCGATAATCGAAATTTTTCTGTACGGCAACCAGCAAGTGGTTTTAAAGATACTGGGATCGAATCGTAACAGTCGTGAACGAGCAACTAGTCACATAAAAATGCGTATTTCGGATTATAACAGTGGGCCTGTTCGAGGCATGTAATAAAAGCGGCAATACTGCAGCAGTGCTAGAAATTTACATCACTGCTGCAACTGCAAAACTGATAAAACGTCGTTAGAAATTCACAACGAACGTGATACTTTAATGGTTCGCGCAATGCTGCGGTTGTGATAGCAACTCGAACAAGCCCACTTTAAACTAGAGATTGACAAACGATCCTGTTTTTGTGACTTTAAAGGCCCGTTTACATACAACTTTGGCGTTGCGTTGGCGTTGGTGTCGCCTCGACAGCTGACTATGAATACATGCATTTATATGAAAGTCTCAATATAACCAAAGTTTGGCAACGCCAACACAACGCAGAAAGATGGCCAACTCTCAACTTTTCGCGCGCGTCGTTCGTCAGCTGTTCTAAATAATCAAAATTATGTGATTTCATTTTCATTTTTAATCAAATGCGGGCAAGAAATATAGTTTTTAATCAGTGTTGCCGCGCCGTCTCAAGAAAATGTATCCCTGACCAAGCCAAAAATGTATCCAAATGTATCCAATTTTCTTTTTTTACATATACATCTCATAACTGGTAAGAAAACCAAACATTTTCATGAAAAAGACATAATTTAACCCATCCTAACGACTTGGAATACATGTGCATAAAATCAAACATTTGTAATTTCAATTTATTAAGTACATTTTTTGTGCATAAGTATTTTGCAAAGTAAATATAAAAAATAGCACGTACACTCTAAAAAGAGCATGTAAAACTACTACTGAAAAGTATCTATTTTCAACAAGAATCTGTATAAATATACGTATAGGATGTTCAGTATTTGATTTTGAACTTGAGATCTTTAAAATATGCACATTAATACACATATATAGAATGTTTAAAATTGCAAAAATTTTCAAACTACAAATAGATTTCCTACTAATAATAAACATTACTTTATTTTAAACATTTTATGTGTAAAAGTAAACAGGCAATGATTAATTTTATTACACGGCGTGCAAATTTGCACACATTAAAAGAGGAATCTGATTATCTCTCTCAATATGCGCAAATAAACAAAAANTCGCGCGCGTCGTTCGTCAGCTGTTCTAAATAATCAAAATTATGTGATTTCATTTTCATTTTTAATCAAATGCGGGCAAGAAATATAGTTTTTAATCAGTGTTGCCGCGCCGTCTCAAGAAAATGTATCCCTGACCAAGCCAAAAATGTATCCAAATGTATCCAATTTTCTTTTTTTACATATACATCTCATAACTGGTAAGAAAACCAAACATTTTCATGAAAAAGACATAATTTAACCCATCCTAACGACTTGGAATACATGTGCATAAAATCAAACATTTGTAATTTCAATTTATTAAGTACATTTTTTGTGCATAAGTATTTTGCAAAGTAAATATAAAAAATAGCACGTACACTCTAAAAAGAGCATGTAAAACTACTACTGAAAAGTATCTATTTTCAACAAGAATCTGTATAAATATACGTATAGGATGTTCAGTATTTGATTTTGAACTTGAGATCTTTAAAATATGCACATTAATACACATATATAGAATGTTTAAAATTGCAAAAATTTTCAAACTACAAATAGATTTCCTACTAATAATAAACATTACTTTATTTTAAACATTTTATGTGTAAAAGTAAACAGGCAATGATTAATTTTATTACACGGCGTGCAAATTTGCACACATTAAAAGAGGAATCTGATTATCTCTCTCAATATGCGCAAATAAACAAAAATTTTTCAGTAAAATTCATAAAAGTTTCCTTAAATAAATCAAATTTAGTTTTTTAAACTACATTGAAATCTTCTTTCTTTTTAAATTAACAAATGAAAATATGTGATATGAAAGAGATTACTACAGAAAGAGTATAATTTACTTTATATATATCGTCGTTTAAAGTACAAAACCGCGTATCGTCATTCTGCAAAACCGCGTAACTGACGTTTGCTGCCAAAAATTGGATTTGCTCACACAAGCTCTTGGCTCAATCCTTATCCATTCGTCCTGAAATATACTAGCCAGAAGTGTGATTGCTTTATAAAAAAGAGAACCATTTTGAAATATAAGTGTTTTTACTCTAGAAAATAATTTATGCAACGTCACATACGAGGTTTTGCATTATCTTGATACGCGGTTTTGCATTTTGTTGATACGCGGTTTTGTACCTTAAACGACGATATGTTTATTAAGATCTTGCTTAAAGCATCCTTTTAAGGTAGTTAACGCAATTGCGCTTATACCTATTTTGGTGAGATCTCTTCATATGTTCATTGCTTCGTTCACAAAAAATAAAATGCTTTAATTTCACGCTTAAGTAGCGATTCTTTATACGTTTATAAAACGTAATGCTTTCTACCATCTTTAATGAAAATCGGTTTTTGAACGAAAAAAACTTTATAGGAAATATAAAATTTTGGCCTATTTAAAAAAGTATCCACATTTATACTAACCGGAAAAAATAAGTATCCCGCAAAAATTTTTCTAAAAATGTATCCAATTGGATCTATTTAGATCCAAACGGCATCCCTGTTTTTAATGCAATTATTGATGTAAAATTTTGATTTATTTGCTGCTAGTATGTTAATTTAGTGACCAAAGTATTCTCTGCTAAGCTTTCATTGTAGCAAGCACGGGCGTTACTCGCGCTGCTGTCAAAGCGACGCCAGCGCCAACGCAACTCCAAAGTTGTATGTGGACGGGCCTTAAAGCTGATGCCACATAAAACTTTTACTTGGCTTTATGTGACAGGTTCGTTTTGACAG